CAGCTCCAGGGGCAGTGTACTGCAGCTGACCCCACACTTTCACCTCCAAGAGGGAGGGCAACGACAACGTATCATATTGCATTAGCCCTGTTTGGCTCTGAGGGTTTTCATTAGTCATTAAAAGTACTGCTGGGAAATGTCACAAGGCTCACCATGTATCGCCGGTACAATCACATGGTGGAAAGACGTCTGTATGAACCAGTACGTCTTGGATGACTTGCAGAATTATCCGTACCGCGTGACTGTATTTGTCGGAGTATATATGAGCCATAAACCGGGACCAGTTTATGAGCACTGGTGCTGTCATAGCTACATGCGAGTCAAAGAGAGGCAGTGTGTTTTTGTTCTTCCCTGTGGAGGTGAGAAGCAGGTAGCCTGAAGGTTGAAATATTGATGGATGATGATAAATTCATGTAGGTGTTGTAAAAAGTGAAGCACATCCAAACAGACGCTGCAGCTTCGGGATCCCGGAGTTAATGCCCATCTGTAGCCGACTGGTATTGTCCTCTCGAGAAACATCCTCGTTAATACGTAATTACATTCAAAATTGTTGTACGGCTATGCTAGGCTATTCAGACTTTGGCATATTTACAGAGGTACAGTACATGCTCGATTATATGAACTTGTGAAACACACACTTTTGATTTTGCCAAGGCCACAATAAGGGTGTGGTTACTTCAGTTTTTTAACGACGATACACTGTTTTCAGTAATTTATTCATAGCTCTGAGGTTTTTGCTGTATTTTTCATCCATCTTTCATTTAGAAAGAGTAAATCACCAACAGCATGTGGTTTATTCAATCATGAATACTGCATGGCATACTCCGTCTATTTATGCCACTCTCCCATGAGTCTGCTTACATAGAACAGTCAGAGTGGAACTGAGTTTTTCTACACTGCTTTTGATGACAGCGATGACAGATTTACCAAATTATGACTTTACTTTCTCCTAGCTAGAGTGCTTGATAGCGCTGCTATTGTTTAGCATTTGTTGGATTAGATGTGGGGTTTTCTTTACATTGTGTCCCAGAAGCCCCAGGGATATGTTGTCGATGATTTCAGCTGATCTCTATAGCTCCTAAGGTGAAGAATGGCTTTCCCTTTTTCCTTCATACCGAGACCTGGCAGCTCACCCAGCTGGCTCTGATCACTGCATGTTTGTGTGTGTGTGTGTGTGTGTATGTATTTTATGCCTGTCATAGGAAGTAACCCAATATCCATGGCAGCGGGGCAAACTGCGTCACTGAATCCTTTATTTCTTCTTGTCTCAGGAACGAGGATTAAATCTCACGCAGTAGTATTCTTAAATTTCTTATCCATTCCACTCAGAGGTACTGAAAGGCAGATGGAATATGAATACCTTGACAAATCGTTTCAAAAACATTTAGAACGGGCTCTTCTTTGCTTGAACCTGTAATATTATTCTTGATAGTTTTTATTCACGCGCTTTTGGTGTGAGGCTCTCTTTTTTTCTTGCACCCTGCCTGCTCTAATCACTCACTTCTGGCTGTCATGAAGCTAATCTTAACAACGCCTGGGTGGGTGGATGCAGGGCTAAACTATGCAGGCTGGTATTGTAAATGGTAGGTGGGCGGCAAATGTGGTTAATTTGCTTGTCTTTGGCTTGTGGTTCATTTTGCTGAGCCAAATCCTCTCATTTAGGGGATTATGTTCCCAGGCTTGTCGAGAGTAGGTGGAGGTCAGACAGGATGAGGCAGAGAATGGACAGAGGAATGGAGAAAGTGATGGAGAGAGTTTTTGGTTGGGGGGTATAGGTGCAGAGAGATGGGGCGACGTGGAAGCAGATGGGGGTTAATGTATGTGCCTGTGTAGAGTGGGGGGAGGTGATGCTCAGAGAGAGGCAGAAGAGGAAAGCAGCTCTTATGTGGGAAGATCAGAGGGTTGGGGGTGTACTTGTGTGGGCAGGAGGTGTGGTGAGGTGGGGAGGGTATTGTTTAAGTAGGCCTGAGTGAACTCTGATGTGGGGCTCCAACTCTCAGTGGGTAACGACAGATCTCCACTGCTGCCACTACTTCACATCCCTTATCAACCCCACTTCCAAACATACCACAGCTCTCCACAAGTTAAATAAGTCCCCCCCCCTTCCTCCCCTGCTGCATTCACACATATGAGTTGATGAAGTCTGAAATGGACAGAGCACTCCAGGCCCACTGTCTTAGTGAATGGAAGAGGTTTAACCATGAGGCTGAAATGGTGCTTCAAAAACTGGCATTCTCCATGAAACAAACAAGTCCCTTTGGCCTCTGTAAAAACAGTCAAGGACGTGTCCCTCCTTTTAATAGACCAAAGCTATTCAGTACACTTTTGAACCATAGCTTGGCTGAGAGGTGAGGGGCAGCAGAGGATTCAACTATTTCACAAGGCTGTAAAAAGTAAGAGAGTTCTGAATTTGCAATTTATCTGCAGAAAAAGAGTCTTGAGAGCATTCAGAAATGAAACTCAGTAGAGCACATACTTCTGCTGAGGCCTCATGAAACAACATCTACATTCACTAAATTTCAATTTTTTGGAAGGGGGATTGGCACCAAATTGCACATAATCCAAAATAATCAGATCCATGAATTATTACCTCAGCCAAGAAGGTTATGTTTTCATTTTGTATGTCTGTTGGTAAGCTGGTTAGTTAGTTAGTTAGCAGGGTTATTTAGCAAGGTTATGAAAAAACTACTGGACAAATTACCACAAGAAATTGGTTGAGGATATGATATGGGTCAAGAAAGAACCCATTACATTTTGTCTACACATCTGAATCTAAATCTAATGGCTTCTTCCTTGGGTCATGCCCCACCCCTCCCCAAAAAATCATGGGAATCGGTTTTGAAGCTTTTTTTGTAATTCTGCCAACAAACAAAAAAACATACAAACAGACAGACAGATTAAAAACATAACCTCCTTGGCGGAGGTAGGTTACTGATGCGGTTTTCAATGTTTTTTAAGTTTGAAGAATGGGTCAACAGTTACTTCAGTTGTATCCAGTTGGACTTGACTGGAACGCTCTTTACCCCAGAAACTCCAAAAGTGTTTTGTGGACTCAGAAACTTCATCCACCCCTCCAGCGACATAGTGGCGAGTAGATAATGAGTGAATTTACATTTTTGGGTGAACTATCCCTTTAAGTAGAGAAATATAAAAAAAAAGTTGGAAGCTCTGATTAGCCCCCCGCATTCTCACCACTGTCTATTTTGAAGAGGGGCCAAGAGGATTTAACAGTCAAAGTCTGCATGAGCAATTTTAATAAGAATCAAACAGTCATAAGGGACAGTACTTCAGGGTTTAGACAGAATTAGTGATGTGACATAGAGTACAAGAAGCTACAGTTCCTGTTATCCACTTAGCACATGGACATCAAATGCATTAAAACACTGTGCTGTTATCAACATGCAAAGGAGTATGGCAGGGACTATGGAGTGACATTCTCAATTGGGCCATTCACTGCTAATTCACCTCAAACAATCACTCCGTCTGGCTTTAGTTATGGCAGATTGTGTTACATGATCCTCGGAATAATGAACTGGTACGTCAACACTGCCAATTCCACATCGCAAAGAACAGGATCTGTCTGTTCCAGGCCCTAATCCAGTCTGTTTGGGAAGGAGAGACTCTGGCGTGACACTTGTTCCCCGTAGTCTCCAGTGTTCTCCCTTGAACCTCCCAGCGCCAGTTTACATTAGCATAACCGTGAGGCCCATCCTCTCACTACAAGATTAGTTCAGCTCTCCTCCCTCTGTCTGATGGCTCTTTATCCAGATGGATATAGCCAGTTAGAGGTCTTAACCACACCATTGCCACCAAAGTCATTATCATTCACCACGAGAAGGAATCAGCTCACTGAGGGTCCACTGTTTACGGTTAGATTGACATCTCATTTGGGATGAAAATACAGGGAACTCCCCTTTAGACTATGATGCCAATAAATGCCCACTCAAGCTTCTAATATCATTCATTCGGTTTTGTAATGTTTTTGGGACCCTGTATCTACGTAAGATGTGGGTTATGTCAGCAGGACACGTGCTGTTTTTTTTGCTTTACACTTGTTCACGTCCATGCCCAAGTTACATAAACTTACAGACATGGTAATGACATCTTTTGGTCAACGACGTCCTTGTTATCCCACAAAATGTCATTTGTCACAGTTTGACAGATGGTGTAGATTGTTTAGCATGAAAATTGAATAAAGCTTAAAATGTACCCTCATTCTGGGAACTTCTGTGCTCTTCCATGAGTTTCTTAGACTTGAAGCGGCGCCATCACCAGACAGATGAGTCTGACAAGCCGCGTTAGTCTGTTGTGCAGATCGCTCTATATAAACCACGAGCCTGTGACGCTGTTACGGCAGCTTTACCACTAATCCATCAGACTCAGGTAAGATGATATTTTACATTGAGAGGGAGACGCTTAAATAGTGTGCAGTTGGTATAGTCTCTTTGTCTGGCTTCTTCACCCACAGGAGAGACACTATATCTACTGTAATTTGTAATGGGATCACTGATATTCTTTTGTGATACATTAAACAATAGACTGCTAAAAGTAATGGACTTGTAACCACATAAAACACAGACTCTCTTGACTTCACAGCACAATACCTTTGAGCACAAGTGCATATTTATTAAAACATTTGTAGACCATTCATTATGCAGAAGACGAAACAGAACAATGCAAGAGAGAAAACTAACTTTCAGCTGCAGTCTCATCTATATAATCAAATCCTCACAATGTTCCAGTTTCATGTCCTGCTGCTTTTTCCTGTTTTCACTCTCTTCCTAACCTCTCGCCTTGACCCAACCTTTCCTCTCCTACTACTTTTGCTTTCACAGTTTTCTTTTCTCTCATGCTTTCTATGCTCTCTCACCCTTTCTCCCGCCTACACTGCACTCTTCTTCTTTTCTCAACCCCCCCTCCACTCTCTCTCTCTCTCTCTCTCTCTCTCTCTGACTGTGCTGTCTGCCTCAGCTGTTCTCAGTTGCTCTCTGTGCCTTGTGCAGTGGGGACAGACCTGATCTGCGCTGAGTGGTGCTGTGCTAATCCAAACCAATGTTCAGTACAGAGAGAGAGACAGATAGATGAAAGCGGAGCAGAGACAGAGTCAGTGCAGACGGGATTAACAGCTGAAACAAACTGGACCTGTCTTTCTTTCTTTAGCTGAAGGTAGAAGCTCAGCATTAACGTGGATTGCTGTTCGCCCAGAGCTTCATGCTGGTCAGGAACCAGGACAGAAAACTATGGCAGATGTACCGAGACTCTCTCCTCCGTCGTGTAATGTATTAGCACAATGACAAACTCATATTTGTGCTTAGTTTTGTTAGGTTTACCTTGGACTTGTGGACTGCTGTGGGAGTCTCTCTTGCAGTGACATTGACCCATAACCCCAACTCTGCTTTGCAGGATCCGTCTCCCCTGGAGTTGGACTCTAATTTTAGCTTTTAACTCCTGGAACAGGAAAGAGTTTCTCACTTTTGCAAGGAGGGAGATATCTAGTGAGAACAAGTCTGGATTGACCCACCAGCATTTATTCATTACCACAGGACAACAGTAACAGCATTAATTCTGCTACACCAGATCTGAAACTGACTGCACTGGAGTAGAATATTTAAAGGACCTGTCCGGCCTCTATTGCTCCAAGACCATGGGCTTTCTCTGGGGCAGCATTATGCTGCTGTTTGGGATGGTTCTGCTCAGGATGGAGGGCAGCAGAGCCCAAGAGACCAAAACCAAGAACAACGTCCCCCGGCTAAAACTCTTCTATAAAGGTAAGTTATACATGTTAGCTTTGTCATAGAACTTATGTCTTGATCTTGTAGATTTAAATCCCTGATCCACATATGTTGAGCTGGTGAAGTGATCGAAGTTGTTGCTGTGAGATTGTATGTCCCTGTGAGGCAGAGAGATGCTTCTGCTGTTTTCTTGTAAAAATGCCAAGAGTAAAAAAGTTGAAACAAGTATATTCATTTTTTTTACCATGCTTTTTGAGCTTCCTGAGGTTGTATTCACTTGTTGTGTGACATATTTTCTGATCTTGATTTCAGTCAAATACTTGAGGTCCACTTTTCAACATAGACCTCTAAAGAAAGTTTGCCTTCAACATGGTTTCAATATCCAATTACATTGTTTATCTGTTAAGTAAAGTAAAAAAGTGAAATTATCATGGAAAACTTGTGGCAGTGTTAAAGTAGTGTGGTTCTGGAGAAGGAATTAATTGGAGCAATTAAATACGTTTACTGTCACAGAGCACTTTAGTGACATTTAGGAGAGCAACTTCTCAAAATCAGAAGAAATTCAGCTTGAATGTATCTGTGTTGGCACAACTGAACTGTTTATTACTGAAGTCGCTGATTCACTCTTTCTTCCTGTCTCTCTGTCCCAGTTTTGATCAAGCGCTGTTGTCAGTTTTGCGATGAAAAGTGGTGCCAGACATAGACTCCCTGGCAGTTTAGAATCATTTCCCTCGCTCCCTTTCTTTTTTTTTCTGGATGTCATTTTTCCACTCTGTTCTTCCCTGCATGGTAATTATACTCAGGATGAATGGTGCAGGTCTGTTTCAGCAGATGGCTTTCCCAAAGAGAAATGCTTTTCGCTCAGCACTGGGAGATCCATAATTATACACACAAGCATGCACACACACACACACACACACACACACACACACATACATACTTACGCACATGCACCCAAATACATGGCCATCTGTAGATAGCTAATGATACCTGTGAGCGTATCAGTCATTTAAAACCACATGCTGTTAGTTTGGTGAAACACGCCCATTCAGTGATATCTCTATTACAAGTCAGGCTTTCAGGTAGCAGCCTCGCAAGCCTGGTTATTTGGCTGATGTCTCCACATTCAATATTTCCATTAGACATCATCATTTACATTTTGGCTGGCGGGGACAATATTTGGCACCATCCTCCGCAGAAAGCTTCCAGTGAGCAGGTATAATTTTCATGGCTGCAACGTGGTGAAGATATTATTCACATGATACTGGGGGATTTCATTAAACATTATCCACTGTAGGACCCATTAGGTAAGTGACATGGCATTATTGCTTCATGAATCATTTATATCGTTGTATAAATTATTTATTACCCAGCTGACAGGTGAGGCTGACTCAGATTTACTCCCGGAGAGGAGGAAATCAGATGCTTTATTGTCCTGAATGACAGAAGAGTATCTAGACAGCCAGAGACGCTGCGCAGTCCTGAGGAAGTAACGTCTGATCAGTGACACATGGCACCTAGAGGTGAAGGAACTCTGACCCCTACAGGTCACTAGGAATACTTGAAAAACCTGTGTGTCCAAACCAATGAGTGTTTGCCGGTGCAGGCCTACACACATATGTTTTTAACTCTACCGGAGACTAAACTCATCTGAACGCTACAGGGAAGTGTTTATCCCAAAAGCTTGAACCTGAGCAGCAGCCTGCTCCTCCGCAGTGTGATCTCCTCAATGGACACTGTTAAGCTCTCTGAAGCGTACATACCAGCTTCCCTTGATAACCAACACACACACACACACACAAATCCCCACCCTCCTTGCTTAACCCCAGGAGATTCCACCACATCTTTGAAAGTGAGGGACAAGGGGCAGAAGGGCAGTGGAGTAGGGGGAAGGATAACAATGGTACCCCATGGCTACACAAACACGAGCTAAGGTCCAACTGTATCAACAACTAAAAGATGGGGTGTTGATGATGTAGTAGGAGGCCGTGGATTTACAGTGGACAGCAGCTCTATGTACATATATATTGACATAAATTGACAAGAGATTGAAGGATGGATTGGTGGATTCTCAGATGAGTAAGAGGTCCATATGAGCCACAAGAGGTACGACAGTTTTATAGTATGCCGGTGTACTGCCAGAAGTACTCTTTCTCTTTGAGCTGTCCACCCCTTCTCTGAGCAGTGCTAAGGACTTGCACACACACACAAGTCCATACATACATACATGGGTAAAATGGTTCGACAGTAAATTATATTCATTCTAGAAATCACGCATATTTCCTTTTGTGTTAAGCATGATGTGAAAAGACTTTTAATCAGAGTAGGAGGATGGAGAACTTCTATTTAAGACCTTAAATCCATAAGAACGTGAAGAATCTTCAGAGCGGAGTTGGGTTTCTTGGGGTGTGTACAGTATGAATCCTGACAGGCCCTGAATGGCCAGGGCATGGACTCCTGTAAACTCAGAGGATGTTCATAGGCTTCCTTGAAATCCACCCTTGACTGGAGGCTGGGTCAAGGTTGTATGGTTGGTATTTCTCTCAGAGGAACCTTTGTAGTCATTTGACTTAGTCATCATCTGTACCAGCTGCAAAGTAAAAATTCACGGTGTGCCCGCTTGCGTAATCTCTGCTGCTCATGGCTGTTGGCAGACAAACAGACATAGTGTCATGTGGAGCTGTGCCAAATGGTTGAATCAATATTACTTTATCAATAATAGCAAAATCACATATGCAATCATCAAACTGGTGTGAAATGTAATCAATTTAGTTTCACGGTGGTTCATTACATTAAACTTTTTAAACTCATCTATTAAACCACAAATTTAATGTAACCAATTCATGAATACCCTTTAAGTCACTGTCTTACTTCAGTAACAATTACAGCAAATCAGTCATATTTGCAGAACAACTTGTTAAACAGTACGTGACAGAGCTTAAGGAGGTGTTTTTGATAGACACTGAACAAATTACCAGCCTCATGAAGTCAATTCCCCTCAAGCTTGACCGAATCAATGTCTGTGTGCACTCGGTGACGCAGTGTTTTGTCAGTGTGCAATCATACAATCAGCCATGTGAGCGATGAAGCTACTGAAGCAGGAGCCGGGCGTCAGTTTTCCTGTATATACAGTACGTCCTCACACGGGTAATTGTTGAGATGTGTTTCTGCTTTTTTCTGTGGAAGCACTTAGATATCGCTCTCTGTGCCCTCCAGTTGAGAAAGACAAAGAGAGAAAGACGGAGAGAATGTAGGGTAAAAGAGTTTATTTTTATCAGTCTCACAAGGGACTGTTGATTCTTTGCATCCATTCCATCTGCCCCCTTATATCTCTCTCTCTTTCTCTCCCATTTCTACATCACGTTGCGCTATTCTCTCTCTGTCTCCCACTCGCAAATTCATTACAGCATGAAAGAGGGGATAAAATGGAGAGAACAGGAAAAGGAGGATAGGCGGTAAACCAGTTTTATTAAAACAATTGGGAGAGTGAAGAGAGACAGTGAAAGAGTAAAAGTATGGGCAGCTGGTAAAAAGTGAGATTTGCAGGATTCTTGACAGGCTAATAACAACTGTGGGGAATGAGTGAAAATTGGTCAAAGATGGCAGGACAGCAGCTGACACCTGTTACAGGCCACACATTAGCCCATCCACCTGTCTGTCTATGTCTATCTGTCTGTCTGTCCATGTCAAAGTGTCTGTATCTCCTGGACCCCAAAATTCAGAGGACCATGTTCTGTGTGGCACAAGATCACACCAGCCTTTAAAGATTATATAATTGTTACAATGAAACTTGGTCAACTGCTTCACAATTTATTGGAGGGAGGAGGTTTTGTATGGAGATAAAGATTATACAGGGGAAAAATAAGTGTTGCTTCATGCATGTGAGCATACACACCTGTTATATTCAACCAGAGGGGACACCAGTTCAGACATGTAGAGACCATCACCTCTGGTCAGGCCTGGAAACATCCTGTTTCTTTCCAATAACACACATAAGAACATGCACCACACACACACATACACACCCACAGAGTATCAGTCTCTAGGTGATTAGCTTTTGATAACTAGTCTCTACAGTCGTGAATGGCCTGTTACCATGGACACTACTCCCATAGACATTTGTGTGTGTGTTGATGCTGCTCTTGTACAGGGGTGTGGTTTGAGAGGAAGTGAGTTTCCCTACAGCTCCTTGACACCTTTCTGTTTATAAAACAAGTGTTTTTATTCTATTAGAAATTGCTCATTTCATTCAGATAAACGCAGATTACACACAGTCACACTGCATGGTTTGTCGTTTAGTTTAAGGAAGAAGGGATATTTCCTTCCACTCTTTTTGTATAATTACCTCGCTGAATGTCAGGTAATGGGAAGGAATCGTGTCCAACATGTAGAAACAAACACATTTGCTTGTTCTTTGGAGCCAAAATGAAAATAATCCATGTTGAGAAAGGATCCCTCCTCTCTTTCTGTCTTCCTCTCCCACACACAAACGCAGCCTTGGCAGGTGAAAGAGGGTCAGAGGTTGCAGGCATGTGTTGCTGTGCTGTCAGTGAAGGGCTTACAGTGGATCCTCTAATGATTGATCACCATGGCTACAGTGAAACATAAATCTGGGACACAGCTTCGGACTCGGCTGAGCAATAAATTCACCGCAACTTTCTTTTCACCTTCTTTCCATTCTTAAAACAGTGGTTGTGTGAGGAGTCCAATAATCCCTGAATTAAATGATAAAACCCAAGTCAAGGTTGATTTACAAACAAATAAAGACTTGATTGGAGTTAACTATCTAGGAGCATTTAATGAGTGATTTGAAATGAATGTAGCTTTTCTTGGTTTGGGCAGTGGCAGACTGCAGATCCGGCCTTTTACGACTTCAAGAGTCCTTTTAAATCCTGGTGGACTTATTAAGTCAGGTTTAGATGTCAAGTTCTCAGAAGTCTTTGGAGTGGGAAGTCATGGAGCCTGAGGGCTGGGTCACACAGAGACAGGAGTTTATATTTAGGAGACTGACTAAATCTCCTCCTCCCATCACCACTGAGCCACAGGAAACCAACTAAATCACCAAGACAATAACAATAAAGACAGGGTGTCAACCAGTTGTACATCATCATCCTGTGTGTACAGGGCTGTGCATGTGTTTGTACATGAGAGTGAGGCAGGTGTGTATTTAGATGAAAGTGTAGAAGTTTGTAACCAGACCCAAGTTTTCTTTTTTTCCTATTATCTTGCAC